TGGTGTGAAATGGGCTGGAAGGAAAAAGCATGAAGGATCAAAATAGAAAAACATAAGATGTTGTTTTCCAAAGCTTCACCAACTCCTGCTAATGATTCAGATAATCATGTGGTATCTTTCAGCTCCTCAAACTTAACTTCTGCTCATAGAGGTTTAAAATATGCTCACGATTCCTAAGACTACTCAGGTTTGTTAACCAGAACTATGCCTTGAGTACTTTGCTGAGGTTCTTAGGCTTGGTTTGACCAACAACAGAAGTAGTAATTAGTAATTTTTCAGAGTCACTGATGCCTAGTGCCAAAATGAGTTGCTACTTGGAGGTGGTGGTGAAATGTTAACAGAATGATCCTCCCTGTCCTACCCATGAGATTTTATTTTCATGGAAGTTGGTAGGAGGTAACACTGAAACCCTCTCTGAGGTGCATGTGGAAATTCATATCTGCAGAGATATGGGCTCAGGCTTCCTGCAGCCACAGCCAGACATCCTGATCCCTCAGTGCAATACCCATCTGATACTTTCAGACTTTTACTTTAAAAGCTTTAAATGAAACAGTGTCTGTAGATGTAATCTGCATGTTAAAGGGACATTTTCTGCATGAAATACCAATGGAGTATGCTGGCAAAGTGCCCTTAGTACAGCTGTAACTTGTGTTAGTAAAACTGTGCTTTTGCCAGTGCAGCTTATTTTCATCATCTGAGCAACACAAGTCATACAGGTGAGCACACATTTATGTGTCCATGAGGGGCCTTGCTTTCCGGATGAGGGATTGAATGGTCTTCCCCTCAGCTGGCATATGTAAGCAGGCAGAAATGAAAATGCAGGAATGGTATTGCTTAACAAACAGAAAATCTGAAAAAATGTGAAAAGAAGTGTCTGAAAAGCTGCAGTGGCAGCCTGAGACCCTGGCTCAGTCTAAATCTCAGATAGATGCAATATGTCCCTTTAGCTACTTGGTAATTATCTATCTAAAACAGTGCTAGCCCTTTTTAGTTAGAGATGACATTGGAAGCTGTTGTTCACTTGGCCATCTGCAAGCTTTCAAAATAAGGCAGTATATATGAGCTTGCTCCACCAATACTGTTCATTTTACGTGGCATTATCTTGCCAACTTTTTTGGGAAATGGCTACTTCCAGGCAGATGGCAGGAGCTGCAGGAAGCTGTGAAGCAGACTGATGTGTGAGCCAGCAGATCTTATAGATACAAGACACCTCTGATCATCTGTGACAGGTGATGTACCAACTCCTCCTGAGCTTAAAATAAAAGCCCCTCTTTCTTTTTTACTGTGCTTCATCAGCACTTTTTGTCTTCCATTTTTGAGGCAAAAGCATTCTGGGAGTTCAGTGCTGCATGGAGAAGGCATGGAGCAGGAATGACAGTTCTTGAAGCTTTTTGTGGGCAGCACACCATAACTCCATGATGAAGTTTTTGGGGCAGAGGGCTCACCCTGTCACTGCTGACAGTAATAGGAGTTTTTCTGTGACTTCTCTGGTGGTGACTGTAGCCTCTAGAGTGATGGCAGAAGTCAGCTAGGTACACTGAGAGCCACAATGCATCTCCAAACTCTATTGAAGGCAATGAGAGCCTATGCATTGATTTAACAGACTTTGGTTGAGGTCCTGTACAACTTCTGCCTTGACCTGTGTGCAGATATCTGTGTTACCTGATGAATAATCACTGCTTAGATGACTCTTGTGATTCTTGGCTGTTAATCTTACAGTAAAAGTACATTATCCTAATTTACATTTAGCACTGCTCCCATGCATTTAAATCAGCTTGCCTGATCCAGAGAGACAGGTTACATCAACCTGAGGAGCAAACCTCCTAGGAGCCCTTCCAGAGCAGTGCAGTTCTACCTTGTGTGTTTCTCAGGTGCTGGCTGACTGTCCCTGCTTGGCCCTAGAATAATTAATGAGTAATTCGACAGAGGGAGAAGGCTCATGTACTACCACTCAGCAGAAAACAATTACAGAGGGAATCTTTTAAGGACATAACTTTTTCTTTTCAGTGATATCGTTTCTTCACATACTTTTTCCTCTTGCTGTTGTTTCTTTTCTCTTTTCCTCAATACTTGTCTTACCACCACATTCCCTCCTCGCTGGTATTCCCTTCCCCTTTGTCTTCTCTCCCTGGCATGGAACTGATTTTAGTTCCTTGCTCTTTTCTCCCTCCATCTGTGGTGTGGTACAAATAATTCTAAATCCTGCTCCTCAGTTACTAATCTTTCACTTCAGCCCAGCAGAAAGATGCAGTGTGTTTTGTGTTCAAACAATGGGGAGTTACAGTACGGCAAAGACACAAAACTGCCTAGTATGATTAAATATGAATAAGTTTAGTGGAGGTTGTATTTTTTATCTGTTTATATCACTATATCCAAGCCTCGCTTGATTATAATATTTTCAGGTTGAATTTGACAGAAAAATCTGTGCTATGTTAGTATTGAAACTATGCTATGTTAGTGTTGAAAGTTAATCACTGTAGGTCTTAGACCACATGCAGAGAAAATATGGATTTCTCTTGCTTTAAACTGTTCACTCCTTCTGTTCTATATCCATTAACACAGATCTTAGCTTTTAAAGGGCATAGACAGTGGTATTAAATCCCTGCTATTCAAGGCATGCCCTTGTTTCGTGTTTTGCACATTAGACCACCACTGTTAGGATCAGAGTGGTTACCAGGTCACTTGGTAATTGGGGCAAAGACATTTCAAATGATTGCTATTGTATATTTTCAGAAATTAAAATATTTAACAAAACAGGGTCACATTTAAAAAAACAAACCAAACCCAGACTGCATCTAATATAGTTCCTTATATTTGAACCTGTCTGTCCTAGTTTAAGGACTGTTCCACTGACACTCAGCATTTAAAAGAATTTCTTCTCAGATTCTCACAGCACAAAGTTGTGGGACTATCTAAACTCATGTGACTTGTTTCATAATACATGTTTATCTTCTCTTTAAATAATATAAAAGATTCACAGTTTTCATTAATCACACTATTCAAAGTTGTATGACATTGGTTTTTTTTCATCGTTTTGTTTCGAGTTACATTTTGAGCAATTGCTGAACCAGAAGGTTGTTTGTATCATAGTCCTGCAGTATTTCAGATCTGTTTGCCTCTAAATGAATTCTTATTTTCTTTGTCCTTTTTCGCTCTAACTGCTCATAGAGCTTTGTTACACACTCATAGCACTTTGTTACAGACTATCAACTTCTGCCGGTCTTCATTGCCTAGGAACACAATTACTCCTGCAAAAGCTGAGAAAAGATAGTTCAGATTATATATACCTATGACTGTAAACTGTGTGGTGCATTAAACAATGAATGGTTTAAAAATCTATAACCTTTTGGAATGAAACAAGAAATCTGACCTAAATCATACCCCCTAGTGTGCACTTAGCTATTCATGTACGTAATCTGCTGCACTTGGCAAAGCCTGTGAATGTTGTATTCTTGCCTTTCACTATCTCCATAGTAGTAATAATAATACAACAAAAATTGTGCTGATGGAATAGGAGGGTATTGTACTGGAGACAAAATAAAAAAAAAACAGTGATGCCATTCTCTCTTTGTGCTGAAAGAGCCCGTGGGAAAACTGTCCCATTATTTCCCACAACATTTTCTTTTTCACAGTAAGTTGAATAGCAAGAAAATGCAAGAAAGTCCAGTTTCTCAGCCTTTAAGGACCTCTGCAAAACACTCTGTGAAAATTCAGTACTATTTTATCTGCTAATTATAAATTAAAGAGCTTTAGAATTTTTCCCCGTATGTTTAAAGCATAGAAATGTAAAGATATCAGTAAATTATATTCTCTAGAATGGGCTAAAATGGAAAAAAATCCATATTGCAGCCTTACTACTGATATTCTCCCCACCTTTTACAGCAGCCCTTCCTTTATGTGCATAACACTTATCAGGTTTTATTGTTTACTTATCAATGACTTGGGAGAGGGAAGTAAAAAAACTCTAGACTACCACATTGGCAAACAAACATATGAGTCTTTTCGAACAAAATTATAATAGAATGGAATATTAATGTTAGTCAATACTAGTATTGATTTTTAAGTCTTTAAATGAAGATCATGCCTCCTCAGCATTGATTCAGTAAAGTTCGATTAAGTTTTTCCTAAAAAACTTTCTGATCTCACTAAACTAAGTGATTAATTAGTGGTAAGCATAATTAAAGTCAGTGGCCTCCCATTTTTTGTGTTATTTATCTGAAGGTATTGGGTATATATATATATATAAAGCATTAAGACTGCTGTGCTTTCTCATATCACATAAGGTCTGATTTTGCTAAAGAGCCAACTATCATGTACCTGTGTTCTCCCCATTTCTCTCTTGTGATATTACAATGATTTGTAGACTTTTTTAAACTGTGTTCTGCTCTTAGTCCTCAAGACTAAGTTCCAACTTATTGGTTGGAACCAGTAAGCCCATACATTTTACAGTTTGATATGGCTGGAAACCAGACATGGACGACTTCTGATTGCCTTGTGGACCTTCAGTGGTCCAATATTAGAGAGCCACTAGTAACAATTGATTTATTATAAAAAAATAAATGTTTCTCATTTGAAGAGAGCTGGTGGCCTCTAACTAGTGTCCTGGTCTCAAATTCTGGAACCAATGTCCTGGCATAGTGAGTCATGTGCCGAGGGTTACTTCTGGAGGAGTCCTGCAGTGTGCTCCAGAGATGTGATTGCCCCATCATTTAGGCTGGGCACTTGTTTGCTTCTGCTCTCAGTCAGCCCATTTGTCAAGTTTCTTTTCAGTGGAAGCCAGGGCACTTGAGAGTTATGTGGTTGTGTTGGAGAGAAGAGCTCACGTGCAGCCAGCCTTGCCTTGGTAGGAGGCTGTGCTTAAGGTGCAGAGTGTGCCTGGGACACATAACCTGAATTCCCCAGGCTGGAAGTTCTTATGTTGCCTGGGGAGCTCAGCTACATCTATACTGAACTAAAAACTCCCTTTTTCACCTTAGAGTTCTACTTCTGATGTGTTCTTACTCTTGAACCCCCAGACTCAACAGCCTGGATGTCTGTTGTCTGTCTCTCCTAGGCTGCTCCATCTAGTTTGCATTCCTTGAGCCCATCTGTCAGACTGTGTGCTCCATGCTGAGGTGCATCTGACATCTGCTTCTGCTTTTACTGTACCCTGATTTTAATGGGACCCACCTAAGGTAAAGGAGTCTCAGGTAATTTTTGCCTTTGCTTAAAGAGATATTTGCCTTCATCTATGCTCTAACCAGCAAGCTACAGTAGGCACCTTCCCAGTCTTTCCCACTGAAGCAGCTCCACAGAAGTCCAAAGTATTATAGTTTCTTTGGGTGTGACAGAGCGTGTGGAAGAAAGAGAAAGGACTCTTCAGCACCTTGCTTCGAACACTCAGAAAGAAAGGAGTCTTCGACTCCAGATACGAAATACAGCATTGTATTGTAAGCTAAACAGTCACTGTGTATAATATAAACTAACCCTGAAACAAAGGCTAGAACCCAGGGGCCTCTGCTAGGGACTAATGTTTGCTCTCTTGCATCTGCTTCTTCTGGTCCAATGAATCTTTGCAGAAAAGAAATTAATAGAAAATAGCTTCAATTGTTAAGAATGCAATCTCCATTCCTCCAGTCTTTCTCACCCATTGGCCAACAGTCACCCTAGGGATGTGGGGTTTAGTCTTCTCAAGACAAAAAACCTCCAACTGCCCCAACCCCCCCAAAAAAAACCCACAAACAAAAAAAGACCCCCCAAAACATGCTTCTTCTTTTTGTGTGGAATACTTTAACCACAAAAAAGATAAATGGAAGACATAGACTACTTGGTTCTCAGTTCTTTTTCGTATTCAAATTCTTTGCAGAAGTCCTTTAAATTATGCTGTTATACATCTACATTTATCATCTTGCTTTTTCATCTGGAAATCTCTTTTTTCTCTTCTGTGGATCAACAGGAATGATTGGCTAAGGCAGGCTCTGAGCATTCATCTTGCTTTGTTAGTACAGCCACATAAGCCCTGGGAAGTACAAAAGGAATGATAGTGTTGTTTATTCTACTTTTTGAGAACTCTGCATATTTCTTACATCCAGGGCTCTTTGCTGCTTTCTAAATCTTTAGGTGTGTTGACTTCAGAGATGAAATAAATTTGTAATATTTTTAACCTAATTACATCCTTAGAAACATCAGCGGCAAAGCAAAGCATATTTTGTTATAAGAAAGAAACGATACCCATGTAAGTCTTCCAGCAAAACCTGTGTGTTGGCAGCATAGCTTGTTCTTTGATGTCTCTCTAGCAGTTGTCATAACTGGGTTAAGAAACAGACACTAGAGAATGCATTTTTCATGTTTGGGTAAATGGCTTTAAGTATCAGTTTGGTAGCCATGTACCACTAGGGTTATCTCAGGGAGAGGGTGGAAAAGTCAGAGGGGTCAGTTTTACCCCTCCATAAGGAGTGGAAGTACATGTTTTAATGTCTCAAATGTTTGCAGGATGGAGAAAAGGAGTCTTTGTTCCACTTCAGGAGAGACTAGCAGGCATCTTGAAGCAAAATTCTATGTTAGGTTTTAGTAAATCATTAAATATACTATTGGGAGGCACTTTGGTACTGTTAGGATGAACCAGATATTTTACATAGGTTTTGAAAAAGTGGTCATATCCATGATAGCAGAAGATAATACTAAAATCTGAGCATTATATAAGAAGTAGATACAAAAGAGATTGAAATAAAAAATGTGAAAAAAAGGCTTTTTTTTTTCTAGAAAAGTGACCTGCAGCTTGAGAATTAGATTGTCATGTCTCTCACATTATCCATCTCTAAAGTCTTATCAATTTACAGCTTGAATTTGATTTTCTTTTAATGTCAGAAAACATTTTTAAACTATCTTGCTATGTCACAGAATAGCCAGAGTTGGAAGGGACCTTAAGAGATCATATATTTCCAACCCCCCTGCCATGGACAGGCACCTTTCCCACTTTTAGTTTTCAGCTCAGAGCTCCATCCAGCCTGTTCTTAAACACTTCCAGGGATTGGGCATCCAGAAGTTCTCCGCACAACCTGTTCCAGTGCCTCACCACCCTCACAGTAAAGATTTTTTTCCTAATATCTAGGAAACTCTTTCATCTGGAATCCATTCCCCCTTTTCCTATCACTACATGCTCTTGTAAAAAGTCACAGAATCACAGAATCAATTAGGTTGGAAAAGACTTCTGAGATAATTGAGTCCAACCTATGACCTAACACCACCTTGTGAACTAGACAATGGCACTGAGTGCCATGTCCAGTCTTTTCTTAAACACCTCCAGGGACAGTGAATCCACCATCTCCCTGAGCAGCCCATTCCAATGCCCAGTCACCCTTTCTGTGAAGAATTTCTTCCTTATGTCCAACGTAAATCTCCCCTGGTGCAGTTTAGGACTGTGTCCTGTTGTCCTATTGCTAGTTGCCTGGGAGAAGAGACCGATCCCCACCTGACTACAACCTCTTCCTCTTTCTTGTGGGGTCCCTTCAGGGACTGGAAGGCTGCTATTAGATCACCCTGAAGCTTTTTCTTTTCCAGGCTGAACAACCCCAGTTCTCTCAACCTTTCCTGAGAGGAGAGGAGAGGTGCTTCATCTCTCTAATCTATTTGATGGCCCTTCTCTGGATCTGCTCCAACACATCCATGTCCTCCCTCTGCTGGGGGCCCCAGAGCTGGATGCAGTACTTGAGGTGGGGTCTCACCAGAGTGGAGCAGAGGGGCAGAATCACCCCCCTTGATCTGATGGCTACGCTGCCTTTGATGCAGCCCAGGATATAATTGGCTTTCTGGGCTGCAGGTGCACATTGCCAGGTCATGCCCAGCCTCTCACCCACCAGCACCCTCAAGTCCTTCTTGGCAGGGCTGCTCTCGATCTATTCATCCTGCAGTTCCTCTCTGAAGCAAGCTGGGAAAATCACAGAAGATAACATAGTGCAGTGAGAAAGACCAGTTAATGTGTGGGGAATTTAGAGTCACAAAGATTTGGAATTTTGTTAAGTCCAGTCCCAGCCATATACAGAGCCATGTGTGGAGCCCTGCATCTTACTGCAGCTGAACAGTATAAACCGAACAGAAACAGAAACTGATAGAGAGGGAAGGGACCAAGAATACTCAGAAGTCTTCTATTCTGCAAGATCTAAATGTTGTCAGGCATGCAATTGGCTGTTTTGTTAAAAACATCCACTCTTTGTAACGGGCACAATTCCTGAGTCAGATCCCCAGGAAGTACAGATCAGTATTGGCTGCATCATTGAAGATCATATCCCAGCAGCACATCTGAGATAACTGTGCAGTTACAACTGTGCTCATTAATGCTTATGGAGGAAAAATCCAAGACACTTGAAAAGACCTATTTAACCAGTTTTCTTTGAGGTGATACATGCAATCAGTTTTATGGAACACATTATAAAGGGAACATATTTGGAGGGAGATGTGCAGCAGTTTTGCTAGGATAACCTGTTAATGTCTAGTCCTTAAGTTCATTCTACTCCTAGTTGGAATGTTGTGTGTTTCTTACTTATCTCCAGTGAGTCGTTGCCAGCAGCTTGTTCACTTCAAACTTGATGGCTCTTCCATGGCACTATGCTTGTTGGAATTGAAAAGGTCATGGTAAATTTAAGAGATTAATGAGAGACTGGGATGATGAGAAGGTGTTGCTTTATTGACACTACTCCTGGTGCTGGAAGAATGGGCAGTAGTAGAGCTTTGCTCATATGCTGCTTTGTGAGAACCCTATAATGCTGCTGAAACTGAATTAATTTTGTAGCAGGGCCATTATTGAAGAACAAGAGTGAAAAGATTAAATGGTAATAAATTGTAAGGGATGTATAATGGAGCAGTTGTGGATACATATCTTACACCCTGTCAGCATTAAAATAAATAGGCTAGAGATGTGCTGACCTGTTGCATAGCAACCAGGAGGAAGCACAGAACCAAATCTCTGAATGCTTGTGATTTGTAAACCTTTATAGAACAGAGTACAAGACCTTTACCCATCTGCTAGAAATGTTCAGAAGCTGAAGGATAAAAATGGTCCATTCCCTGAAATCTAACTCTTGACAACCATTTTTATTTATAGATAAATACACAGATACAGTGTATTTTGCCTCAAGGTTATATAGAAAAAGAATATTTAGTCTCTCCAATTTTAGTTAGTGTTTTCCTGAACTCATCACACAGGAGATTCCTCTAAATGCTGCAAATGCTATGTTTTTGCAGCTGCAAATATTTGCCCATTGTTGTGATCTTGTAAACATTTATATGCCCATTTAGCAAAATTATTTATGTTATTCGACTGAAGTCAAGTACAAATTCTGATGCACGATGAAAAGAGGCACTCATGTTTATTTAAAAATCGATGTTGAGAAGATGATTCTGGCTCCTCTTGCCCATTTGAAGTGTGTTTCAAACATTATTTTCAAATGAATACGATGGATTAGAATGCATTTATACTAGGGTAGCAACTCCCTATGGTTTCTTGCAGACCAAAGTTGTTTGTCTGCTTTGTACAATTTCATACTTTGCATACACACTTTACAGTTCTAAAAGTCATAGGTAGATCTCATGGGAATTTTTTTTCTGTTGCAAAAAGGTATGATATTCCTAACTTTAGGAAAGATGCTCATTTGCACCAAGTAGAGATAAATATGGTATATTATAGAAATGAATTGTTTTTTTCCAGTAGAACACTTCATATGTAGTAGTTTCAATAGTAATAGTACTCCCACTCTATAAACCCATTCTTTATAACCAAGAATCACTGTGTAATGTATTTTATTGTGCAACATCCTTTGCATTTCACACTAAAGACATTTTGCAGTTTTGGACTCAAGAGTAACTGGCTCTTTATGAAGGCGTATGAATAATACATCTACAAATACTAGATGCTGCCTATTTATTTCAGAGAAGTATATTAATGATTCAATTATAATTAGTTATATAGGATGACTAATGCCATATGTAACAGAATTTAATGAACCCCTTTGGTACTTGCAGTGGACATTATAACGAAAAGGACAACACAGGAAGTCACAAAACAGAAGAGACTTTGAGGCTCATGAAGTGGTGAAAACTTCTACTCTAGTGCAGCCTACTGAATGAACAGCATGTAAAAATCCCCCAAACACCAAAAAGCTGTAAAATCTGTAGGCTTTTTTTATCTCCTACCAGATTTGGAAACCTAGGTTTCTTTTTAGATGAGCTTGGTGATAGCATGCAGACAAGATACTGTTCTAGGAAATATAAAGAATGGGCTTGATGAGGAGGGAGATATTATATGTTCTTTTCTTTTTCTACTTAAAAAGTGTGCACTGTCATGATTTTCTTGTCTTATTTTATTCATTATACATTGGGCATTCTGGCCTTATTTTTTCCTGTATTTAGTCCAGCCTATGCACATATCTTGCCACTCTTTGTACCTGTAATTCTGGTTTTATTACTCTAGGAAGTATCTATTTATTGATGCTGAGATTCTAGTAAACCTCTTAATGCCTGTGACTGTTTCTGCTGTAAAGTGCTCACATAAATGCTTCGAAAAAGTATCCGCTCAAATATTGTGATACTGATCATTGATAAAGACCTTGTAGTTTATCATAAAACTGTAATAACTTGATTGGCTTGTACCTGTACTTGCATGGCTTTTAGCATAGTTGAGGGTAAAACGCTGCTGTTTGCATCGTCCATGCTTATATTATTACTACTGTCACTAATGAAATGGTCATGAGATGTTACTACTTGTGTGATAAGCTTAGGGAGTAGTTTGGCATATGTTCTGTACAGCAGAGAAGTCTGTGTAAACATCATTATTATTTTAAGATTAATGTAAATGGTCTTTCAAGTATCTTGTTTCATATACTGACAAGCTAAAAGGAACTGCTGGGAGAATATTAAGGACAGGATTCTTCTCACCCAGTCTGAGACATTTACAGTGGAGATTTCTAGAACTTAATGTAGATCTCCCAGGGCCCTTTATCATCATTAGAGAGGAACTGGTGACTTTGAGGCATACTTAATTTTAACTCCTTTTAAACATCTGCTTTAGTACAATTGGAATCACATCCTAGGATACCCAGACTCTTTTGATTTTACCTATATTGATGGTAGCGATAGCTGTGCATGAATGTTTGGGCATCTGGATTTTGTGAGCTAAGCCCAGTAAATGGTGAAGTCCCAGAAAACAGTCCCCAGAAGCTGGCAGTGCTTTTGCACATTCCTGAGTAGCTGCCATCATGGTGGATCTGGTGCATAAGTATTGAGTGTGTAAGTGGAATTGGCTGTATCTCCAAGCCTAAGAGGGGACTCTCAGGCACATTTAATGCATATGGGGAAAACTGGCATCTTGAAATAGAACAGTCTGTTTCATAAAAGTCATACCATGAGGAGCTGGCTCCTTTCCTCAGTATCTCAAAGGAAGGAGAATTCTCTCAGTGTATTAGGAGTGCAGGTGGGTGCTCTCTGTGCAAGGTCCTGTCATATCACAAGAACCTATATTAGCATGGTGGAAAGTTCTTCTGAAGTGGGAGGACTCTCCCCTTTTATAACCATGTCACTTGACAGTAAGCTGGGCCAAACAAATAAAAATTGATCTAAGATTATGCATCTCCCTTGAAGAGGGAGATGTTGCCCCTCTATGAGAATTACTTCTACACTTAATGCAAGGGTCAGTCTGTTTGTTCCTGTATGTTCCTTCTCCCACAAAGGGGATTTAATCGCTTCACTACAAAATGTGCTCCTCTCTGTTTCTCTCTGACTGGTACCTTCTCTCTCCCAGGCTGGAGATTAGGTCATGCATAAACCTTGGGCTGTCATTCTGCACCACAGAGAACATTAAAAGTAAATCTTGTTTACTGTTTGACTTCATCTCTCTTGGTGTGGTGTGCCTTTTGGCACACAGAATGGCAATTATTAGAAATTTGCTCCCAGTAATGAATACAGTGTTAACTCAAGGTTAATGCCAAGCAGAGTGACAAGTACGCTTGCCTTTTTGCTTGCTACTGAATTGCTGGCATCTGAGAAAGATGGTTACATGCTTGTGGTGTTCAGTTTGTGCTAAAATTGTAAACAGCCAGTTTAAAGTTTGGTAAGCTGTCTGGAGGGCTAAGGCATGACTATAATATATGCAGGATGAAAGTATATAACTCAACTCTGGCAACATTCTTTGAAGGAAATTTAATACATTGTCTTCGGTGTATGCAAGATCTGTTTTATTAAAAATAAAGCAAAGGTATAACAGGATTTGATCACCCTGACTGCAACATTGTAAAGAAAGGGCCAGGCACTAAACCATTGATGCTTAAATCAGGGGAAAAGCTAGTTAGCTTCCCTGACATTAGGAGAATGAATTTTTAGAATGCTGTTCATTGATATCTGACAAACAACTTGAAAGGGATGCCAAACCCTCAGGGTTTCTGTCAGGAGCCTTAAAACACATTTGCATATTTTTTGCATAGAAACAGGAGCTCTCTCTCTGTTGCCAAACTGCAGAACTAAAAGGATGTAAAAACTCTATCTAGTCCAAAGGGCTCTGAGGAGGAGCTTAACCAGAATTCAAATATGTGCAATAGATTAGGAAAATTACTTCAAATGGGATTTCAACCATATCTAAGGGAGACACAGAAATCCTGAACAGATTGGTAGGCAAAATGCTACCTGCACTGCCATTAAAAAGCTTGTTTTCTTCTCTAGGCATTTCTCATGTAAAAAATAGCTCACTGACGTCAACTGATCACAAAGATTATTGTTGCTTAAGGTGCTACCGCTTATTTCTCTTGATATCAAATGCAGTTTTTTTCTGAGAGTTTTGATTTTCTCAACTTGAAATCAATACTATTGTGAATAGGACAAGAGCGATGGAGGAATAAAGAAATTATTGTCCTCCACATGCAGCCAGTACACCCAGTGGTCCTGTTTGTTGGCATCTGAATGTCTTTCCTAACTATACCATTTGCTGTCAGTTGTTGTGGATTGAACCAGGAGTCCCTGAGCCTTGAAAGGACTGCAGGGTGCCTTGCCAGCATGGGCAACTCTGCTGAAGTACAGAATCTGTGACAGTGTGAGCTGGAGTTTGAGTTAGACTGGTTTTAACTCCTGTTGGTGGGAGTTTGACTGGGAAATTTTAGCGTCCATGGAATGGCTCACACACAGATACAGCTGTGCTCACCCCTCTGGTATCACTCATGCTGCTCTTATGCCTGTCCTTTTCACTGAATTGTTTCCTTGTTTGATTCCAAATGTTATTCTGTTCTTTCATTAAAGGAAAATACTCGCAAAGACAAGAAAACATTTGGAGTCAAGATTGCACTTAATATACAGGTGATATTGTGTTGGCAATATCTTCTATATCATGGACTAACTATACTTCTATCATTTTGAGGAGGAAGCTGATGGCTGCAGAGAAATTCATTATGGGTGAAAGCATCATGAAATTTTTAGCATACAGTTTTACTCTCTGGTCATCCACCCACCCAGGCATATGTGGGTGAAGTTCTCATTGTATTAACAGAGAGTTGCCTTTTAAATTTCCCATGGATCAAGTGAACAATAGACTTCCATTGCGTATACATGGCAGTGCCATTGATCTGATTGATTTTGAGTTGCAGTGGTGGATGTGGTCAGTGATGTGTGAACAGGAAAGGCGCAGTTAACTCTTTTCATGAAAGTCTATATTAGCCAAACCTGTCTTTGGAATAAAGTTCTAATAAGAAAGGCTGTATTGATACAGTTAGATTACAGTTCATAGTGATTATGATGTTAGAAAATGAGAACGTTATCTGTGACTTAAGTTTGGATTTGTGCAATGCTGGTGGGGTTTTAAAACTTTGGAAAAAGATTGGTATCATATCTTCTTTAAAGATCTGGTTTTTTATCTGCATAATGTAACTTTTTATCTCCTTACCCTTCATTTTCAAGGCTCATGTACAGCAACATAGGCTGACAGAGACTAACAACGCAGAGTATGTGTGGCTTCACATCAACATCCTACAGAGAAATGGTTTTAAATGGCAGAGGAGGCCTTTCAGTAGCTCAGAAGAAATGTTTTTGCCAAGTTCGTGTGGTTGCAGTCAAATCAGGAGTATTAGGCATGTCTCCTGCCTCTTGGAAAGATGAACATCAGACTGTTGGCAGAACAATGAGACACTTGGGTCTGCTGGGTTGCCTGGTTTTGTGCCTTGTCTGCAGGTTCTTGGGGGAGTGGCCCAGCTTTCCCTGGACAGGGCAGAGGAGATTCCTATGCAGGATAGGCCATAGCTTGGTGAGAGTGCTCGTTGGGGGGGTGAATGTGTGAAGGATACTGCAACTGAGCTGGTGGTCTGTCTGGAACTGGTGGAATGGGGAATCCTGCATGGCAGCCATGCAAGGCACCTGTAGAAGCAAAAGCTATCACATTTCTACTTTTTGCAAGTAAAATTATTACTTGCCTAAGATGTACAGGGCTGTTTGGGGCAGATCTTGTTCTCGTACTTTAAACTGAAATCTATTTGTGGATGTGAGTTCTACAGTCTGGCAGAGCTTCTGAAGATGATGAAAATCAAAAGACTTTATCTTCAGTGTATAGAAGCATTAAAACCTTATTTTGAACAGCAGTGGATTTGTTTCACAGAGGTAGTTTTCTAATAAAAGTAATTTGAAAATATATTCCACATTTGGTGATATTCTGGTCTAATTTCTTGAAATAAAAATTGTGAAGAAAATATTCCACTTTCTACAATGTCAGTATAGTCCAAGCATCAGAATTTATATAGAAATATACTTGTAACAATTTTAGAAGCGCTATTTTTAATATAATTATCTTTTTTTTCCCCCAGTAAATAGGGAAACCGTTTAATTCTGTTTTCACCTTGATTTCCAAACTTTTGTTTCCAGCAGAGTCAAAATGTCAGACAAAAGTGATTTAAAAGCAGAACTTGAGCGCAAAAAGCAACGTTTGGCTCAGATAAGAGAAGAAAAGAAACGGAAGGAGGAAGAACGGAAGAAGAAAGAGGTAAATTTGCAAAAACACCTTTAGATAGCTCATGCTTGAAGAAGGGGCTTGTTGGGGTTTTGACATCTAAGTATTGCGTAGCCCAAGGTATCTGTCGTGTGGAATGAGATCCTTAAACCCACATCAGACCAGCCTTAAAATCAAAATGCTTATTTTTAGTCAAGAATGTTGGGGAAAGGGAATTGCTTTTAAAACCATGGCACTGTCAGATGACAACAGTTTAGACAACATGATGTGTATGTGTGTGTAGAAAGAAAAATTGATTTGCCACAATGCTTTTTCCTGTGCTCTCCTTCAATGGAAAGGGAGTGGAGAGTGGGGAAAGACAGAAAGAGGCCTCACATTTTTTCAGGCCATTACAATCTAAATATGTATTTTTGTACTCTGAAGACTAGTTTGATTACTAGCTAAGGTAACAGATTTACAATTATTATTCTCCAGTAAAGTAAAACATAATTGCAATTGCATTTTCGTCTTCTGGCATGGTTGCATCTTTCAGTTCTGTTAAAGTTTGATTGGCATATTAGTTTATTTGTCCTTGACAATATGCATTAGGTTTTTCATTAAGGGATTTGTACTTCTTTTTGTTCAGTCACTTAGTGGAATAGAGGTGAGAATTGACAGGGAGTGGATATTAATTTTCATGCAAAGTCAGAGAAGCATTAAGTGATTATGCTTCCTTTCCTTCAAATGTCAACACTTACTATAGTTTAAAGCACCTGTTATCCTTTACTAATAACTGGTTTCCTTTTAAACTGACACTTTAATATTGTACATGAATTTCATGGAATTATCGTGGAAATGTGATGTGATCCAAGAAATCAGAGTTCCAGTTTTGGCTGTCTTTTTAATCTTTTTTCATATGAGCCACATTTGTGCAGTTACCAGCACACGCCCCAGTGAGGCTCCTGGAGTCACTGGGGGAGTTGTTGATAAGCAGAACTTTAAATGGTAGTGTTTTCAGTGTTCATTACTAAAGAATTAGAGGGAAGGAAGCCAAGATAATGGCTCAAGGGAGCTATTAAGTCCTTTCCTTTGTCCCCTGACTCTGATTTTATGCCTCGTGGAGATCCTGTGGCAGTTGGAACTTTCCATTGTCCCCGATAGCCAGATCTAGCTTGTCCTGGGACACCCAACTCTACAGATAATGCTGCAGTGTGTAATTGTGGAGCTGTAAATGGGCTGCACTGTGATGCCAGATGGCATCCAGGAGCGATGGCTGACACTCACTGAGGTGCTTAACCATGCACACTGGTGCAGGAGAGTTGTCTACAGCCTTGCATGCTATGAGACAGTTCATGTGAAGAGCTGAGCACAGGAATATGCCTGAACTTTGTAAAAGCCATGTTCTTTCTGGCCATGTCCAAACTGGAGAATGTGGGATTCTTTTGAACTTCAAGGTTTTTTGTTGTGCTTGCACTGACATCAGCACCATTCTGAGGCAATATGCGAGTCCCCTTTGCCCCACACTGGTAGCAGCAGAAAGGGAAATCTTTTTGTGCAGTTCTGGCTAATACAGATGCTCCTCCTGGTTTTAGATGCCAGAGAGGGAGAAGGCTAATGTGTGGAAGATCCAAGGAGGTATAGATATCTAAGCAGAGAGGGAGGGGTCTTGTGGACCTTTAGTTTTGGCTGTTGGTGCCAAAGGCTGCCAAAGTCCTAGTTTAGAGACGTTAGTTCTTTCCTCTACTCCTGTTAGATATTGAATATTTTCTGCTCATATAATTGCTAGAGCTGATTATATGTGAAATGAACTTTTCTGTTTTCTTCTGTTTTAATTCAGGCTGATCTACAGCAAAAGAAGGAGCCAGCTCAGGAAGATTCTGACCTAGACCGTAAAAGAAGAGAGACAGAAGCTTTGTTACAGAGCATTGGTATATCTCCAGAACCACCTCTAGGTATTTAAGAGAAGAACACTGTAAAGCATTCAGCTCTGCCACAATGAATGCATTCTTTCTCCTAAAGCATGCTTGGCTTTTTTGATTTTTGGCTGTATTAGTGAAGTGAACTCTTCTGTTTGAATGCCTGCCATACCATCTACATATACAAGCTCATGGCATTATGAGCACTTGTCATTGCCTAAAACATCTGTTTCATTTCTTCAAGAAATATTTGTGAACATAATGCAGGTTGGTTTTGCATACCAGCAGTGATTTCTTTTCTGATGGATTGTTTTATCTTCTCTCACATCTATCTGATGACCCAAAAATATTATGATAAATACTGTACTTCATTAGTCCCAAGTTTTGTTTCAAAAATTCAGATTAATCATTTATAAGGAAGGAGGAGCATAGTCATGTTGGAATTTCACTGATTTTCTTTTAAAATCAAGCAAAAGTGGAGAAGGGAAATAAATAAAAAAACCCCACAAATAGCAAAATGCTTATCAACAAAACACTATTGTAGATTTTAGCTCTGGTTTCATGTGCTTGAGTTCTTTTTTGGTTTTGATGTTTAATTCTAGAACCCAAAGTCCTCAATTTAAAAATACATTTAGTATCAAGAAATGGTTAGGGTAATTTTATGTATAATAAAATATGTTTTCTTGAATTATGTCGTAATATTATAAAATCAGATACATTTTTAATGTCTAGTCTTTAAAATACTCATTTTTATCTAAGAATGAGTATATATGTCCTTATCATTTTATGAACTAAACATATATATATAAATTATCAATTCTTATCTTAGTTAATTATTTTGTGTTTAATACTGACAACAGAACATGAGAATTCACATTCCTTTTAGTTAAAAATAGTATTTTGTTCTCTTTCATTCCCTGTATATACACTCACAATTAATATACAAAGGAGGCTTTACTTCTGCCTTCACATATGATACCAGGTCTCACTGCGAATATGGAATACGTAAACAACCAGGCATACCTGTAACCTGCCAAAGGGCTGTAATGAAGATGAATTCCCTTTTCATGCTGCAGTCGTTTCTATGACAGTCTCTAGTGAGAATCTACATTAAATGTTTGACCACATGGAAAATCCAAATCTCTTGACAGGTCTGTCATTATACGTTATAAAGCATAACAAAGTAGTTTAAAGCTTTGCTCCATTAAATCTATAAAAGGAAATGCACATGATTTAAACCAAATGGGAAACTTTGTTTTTGCATTAAAACCCCTTTTTGTGTTTATTCAGTGTGGCTGCTTTGAGGAATACTTGCACTAAGTGTTGACCGAAGCCATCTCTGCATTTTTAATATTTTTGAGAAACCATTTTAAAAGAAATCAGGATATTTTTACTCTTTTATTTATTATTTCCTTGCTGAAGAGCTTTAACTTGGGCTGACCTTGAGCTATGAACTTCCTTTCCTGTTTCAGGAAACAAAACTGCCTTTGCATGAAATATGCTTCAAAAACCCTGGCAAGCCAAAGAGAGAATCATTTCAAGAGCTTGGACAAATAGTGTCTAAACCAAGGGAAACTTTTCCTTGAGTGTTGAAATCATGTCCCACCCAAAATGGAAATTTTATATGACCTACCTTACCTAACACAATCACTAAGCAAACTAATATGTATTCTCACGTCTTTGGGAAATGATTTTAACTTAGCTGGATTTCCTTATTTAGCTTTTATTTTTTATGTCATTTCCACACTGCAGCCTTAGAGCATATGTAGTGATCACTGGCTTTTTATTTAAATTCAGAATTTGAAACGTATGCTTGTTCTGTTACCTACTTGACTTTACCAGAAGAGTTCACTTAGTTTTTTGACAAGACAAGCCCCTGATATTTCTTCATACCTTTAAAATCTTTTGCAAGTCAGCTTCAAACCAGACCCAAGAAAACAAGTGATGTTTTATTTCTACAGAAATCTTCTCCATTGATTAGCTGTAGATTTCCATTGGGCCTTCAGTCCTGTCTAAATACATGTCAGTTTTAACACTTCCAGGAGACTTAAAATTCACTTGACTCTCTTCCTTTTCTTTTTCTTTCCTTCCTTATTTGCTTTCACCATTTCAAACTCTCCTACTCATTCATCCACTATCATTTTGGTCCATTGGTTTTGATTTGTCTGACACTGCTCTTCATCAGTGCAGTCGCTGCATGTGTTAACATGGGATACCTGTTATTTTCATTATTTAGTCCCAACCCCTATGTCTCCCTCTTCGAAATCAGTGAGCACACCCAGTGACGCAGGCAGCCAGGACTCAGGGGATCTGGGACCCATAGGAAGGTAAGACACAGAGTCAATAGAACTGAATAAATGTGGGGGTTTTCACTTTGCTCTTATTTCTCCATTTTTTCCTTTTCTTCTGTAAATAAGAACATGCTGTATCAAATGTGTATTTATGTTTCTGCATTTTCCACTGTGTGTTACTATCCAGGAAGACTGGTCTCAGATGTGAGGTAAATAGATGTATGCAGCAAGCAGATCTTAAGCTATGAACCCCAAACCTCATAGTGGAAGCAAAAGCTCCACTTACACTTCTAAAATGGCCCACAGAAAGCTCTCATTCTGTGTAGAAACACACTAAAAACAGGGGGAAGTGCCTAGACATAGAACCTGTTATTTAAATTCTCTTTGTTCAGATAATCAGTCCCCTTAGAAGTTCTCCCCCTTGTTACACCAGGTTGCTTCAGGTTCCTGAGGCTGCTCATCACAGCACGTGGCAGGGAGGAGCTTGAACAGGAACAGGCCGAGACATCCCAGGACCCACTGGCAATTCTGCCTTGGAAACTCTGGATATTGGACAGTTTTATGCAGAATGGGAGGGAAGTAACTCTCCTCTTGTTAGAAAGGGACAGTGGTGTGTGTTTGAGGGATGGTAACAAGCAGTCTTCTTATCTTTGTCTGCACGGTTTAAATAGAAAATCCCAAATAATTCCTACTCTGGAGCAGAAAAGAAAGGAGCATGCTGCTGGTAAAGGAGCATATGTTCAAGTAAGAAAAAGTGCAGGCACCTATACGGTATATTTTGAGAAATGTGAAACATGGGTCCTAATAACTCTTTTTGTATCAAACTAATTCATCATAGAGCTGCCAGCGCATCCAAATCTGTGAGCCAAGACTCTGCTAATGGTTTGAAAACACAGTGATTGCTTTCTGCAGTTAACGGTGCTCAGTTGACATTATAACTCCACAGACACAAAATGTAACGTGATAGAACTTCAGTTCATCCGATTTCATGCCACACCAGCCTTCTGCTTGGAAAAATCACACTTTTCTAAGCTGCAAGTATGTTGTGTCCCCTTCAGCCAGATGCAGACGCCGTCCGCTGTGATGTGGAGGCTGCGCATCTGCTACTAAAATCGGCTCAGCCTTGCTCCCACATCTATCCTCTGGAAGAAATGGAGGTTATTAAATGGAAAAGCCCTAACCTGTGAGATGTAGCAGTTCAAAACACAGAAAATAGTGTAATGCTGCCTTCATAAGTAAATGCAGTAGACTTCAGCAAATCAAAGTGCTTTCAGAAGAACAAAAATAGTTTTAAAGCAAAGTATAGCCTACTGTTCGGGATGAAGTTATTTCCCACAGTCCTTTGTGAAGCTATGACAAAGCTGGGTGGAGAATTCTGAATTCCTGGTTTTCCTCTGAATCTTAATAGTGTAACTTTTTTACCGTTAGGATAATGAAATGCTCTTGGAAGAATTTATTTTGCTGTGACCTACGCTAGCACTTTGGCTATCTGTCAGCAACAAGCAATGAGAGCACATGACCACGTGTCCTTTCAGAGGAGAATGGAGTTTGTCCTCTTCTTCAGAGCTTATGCATTGTGGGGCTTTCATTTTGGATGTATTTTTTGGCATGTTATGGCCGTACTAGGAATTCAGTGGGAATCCTAAAACCTTGCTTGTAGACCACCAGTTTTCTTGGCATCCTCTCAGGTATTGAAAGGGCTGTGCCACGTGCCAGGATGGCTGCTGCAGATGTTTGCCTGGAGCAATTGGTTTCTGGCAACGGAAATATGATAATGTCTGGTCCAGGCCCTGGGGAATGACTGTAACTAGTGGATAGTACTGGGTGGCAATTAGTCAAATTAGAGTCACTGGGTGCAAGTAGATACACTCAGTGTTTGTGCATTTATGATAGAGCAGTCAAACTCGGAGAGGAAGGTATTGATAGACCTGTCATCACAGCAGGTAAACAAGAGGAAAGCATTTCAGCTTTCCTGAGAGATGCTTAGACTGTGCTTCTGACTTACTTTGACTACTGTATATTTAATGCCTGTTTATCTGTATAAACAAAGTTGTCCTTCATTTTAATGTGTCCTTCTATTTTGAACTATGTGATAGAGAGGGCGCTTCTGCTGGATTCCCTGTCATGCCATCATGCTTGTTAGATCTTTTGCTTTTCCTCTCTCTGCTGTGAATTTTCTGTGCTAGGCTGAGCTCAGGATTTAGAGGGGAGGAGATTAGTTTCAAAGCTGCTAATGCCCCAATCTCTGTGATCACAGCTTGTCTGTCATTGTTGCTGCTAACACTGCTGCAGAAATGACGAGCTCACACAGCCTGGCAGAAATCCTACTTGCAATTTGATTACTCATTGCTGAAGTGTTCCCCAGAGGAAGATACGGATATTCAAAAAAAAAAGCTATGAAGTCACAGATTTTGGCTCACTACATGAGAGCTCTGTTGAAAGCTTTGAAGAATGCAAGAGATCTTCATATGTTCCCATATGAGGGAGCAAGTTCTGTTGCAGAACTAAATTGTGTTCATACTTCCTTGAGTTGTTAGTACTTCTGGTAGTTGTGAGACTTAATCTGCTGGTCCCAATATCACCAAGTATACCTGAGGTATGCTTTAATCAGCAAGGACCTGTGATTCCTTATGCAACAGTGAATGTAGTTCTGCCAGCAACCCAGGTTTCTGACATCTGCTTTTCAGGAAGGACAATTGATAAACTGGAAAGTTTGAACAGTGTTATGTAGTTGTAGTCCTGGAGACAGAGACCTCACTCAGTCTTACTTTGCAAGATAAAAACTGACTGGTAACTTGCTCACCAAGTGTAATAGTTATATGGGGAGGAAACAAGCTCTGGAAGGCAAGGTGTAAGAGCAGCAATGTGTTTGATATTGAAACTGGACAAATGCAAAACCAGAAAAACTCTGTGAAATTCAAGAATGAAGACAAATTTACCTAAAGACTCTATTGGATCTTCTGTCACTGCCTGTTGCTCATTCAGGATAATCTGCCTGACAAACAGGCAGATACTAGGTCAAACAATAACTCATTCATGAAAGTCGTGCAGCTCTTTTGTTGCACAGGAAGAAAAGCTGCATGGTCACAATGGTCCCTTCTGCCATGCAACCTACAAACTAGTAGTGCTGCTGTCCTGCAGGACCATTGTCCATTATCTCCAGCACAATAGCCAGAGCAGTGTTGTCTTTTCCCTGGTGCCATTCAGCTTCTTAGGGGATGGTATGAGGCAGACTGTGTAATAGCACTAAGTTATGGAATCATTTCTGTCTTGCACAGCCCGGGTTTCTGTGAGGGTTTTTTGCTGCTTTATGTTTAGTACTATTTAGCTATTTGTCATAACCTTTTCACAGGGCATAACACTAGGTTTCAGAAGCATTCCAGCTTCCCTCTGAGCCATGACGGTAACTGTAAGAATAAGCAGATGTTAGATGAGTAACAGTTCTAGAAATTGCTGACTGAATGCTTTCAGTTGAACAGGAGAGCCAAATATTTTTTCAAATTTTTTTTGTGGTCTTGGGGATAATTTCTGGATAGGTAGAGGTGTGTCATACTTTTATTCTGGTGCTGCTCTTAGTTATCAGGCTGCACTGAACAATTCATTGGAGCCCAGCTGTTTCTCAGAGAGCAACTTGCCTATCTCCACATAGCTTTGCAGATTGTAGTTCATTTTTCTGATGCCTGTGTTTCTTGTGCTACACAGATAGGACAGGAAAATGATATCATAGCCTGACCTGTCTCTGAATACATGGGTTATTGGTTCACAGGGCTTTCTGTTATTCAGATATGACTCATTTTCCACAAGACAATGTTGCAGGATCCCATGAAGACCTCCTTGGAATAGAGTATGCTTGGCTCTTTCAGGATAAGTATTTTGCTTTGTTTAGTATTTTGTAAGCATTTTGATGATTCCCAGTGTCCTATTGCTGATAGTCAGCTTATACAGACGCGCACAACTGAAATGTAGACTGGAATACATATGAAGAAAGGCTGAGGTAAAGGCATTTGCCAAGAGCTCCTGTGCCATAGCATGGTGTGAAAGAAATTTGCCTCTTCAGGACTATTAATATGGAACTTCTTCATGATAACTATATGCATCTCCCTAGTGGATACTCTGAAATTTTGCTACCATAGTATACCAGAGAGGATAATAGATATTGTATTAGAGCCATCATAAAACAGTGCCCACAAAGAGGCATGTTTAGGTATACCTTAGGCATTCATAAATCTCATATCCATAGCACTCTCAGCCATGAACTCCAGATTTGTGTCATCTGAAGAAGTGTACAAGGACAAACCTTGTACAATGCCTCAAAGCCAGGCAGCTCAATACCAGGTCTTGTGGGCTGAGCAGCTCCCTGGAAAGGATATCCTGGCACAGGTAGGACCAAAGCACATGTGCTTTGCATGTCAGCTCAGCTTTAGATAGCAGAAATACACCTGTGCTGGAAGGATGTGCTGCTGTGGCTGGGGAGATTTCAGTGCTAATACAAGCCTGTGTTGGTATGTATTTCTGTATTACTTGCACCTTGTCATGTGTTCACCCTGTCCTGTGTTCACCCTGTCCTGTGTTCACCCTGTTCACTGGCATATGGCACACTTGGAGTTTGTGGACCAAGGTGTGATTTATCTGTGTGGCCCATTTTGCCCTGCATCCTTCACTGCTCCTGTATGTTCCTAGCTGGGAACATGCTACATGTTCCCAGCTAGATTCACCATCCTACAGTATGTTTGCACAGTAGCGTCCTATCTATTGTTGAGCTGAATTGTGTGGGCGTGCGTGCAGTGGAGTGCCCTGCGTGCAGCACTTTCCACTGTGCACTGAGGAACATGAGAATCCCATTAGGCTGGGTGTGAAGTTTCCCACCTGCCATCTGCTCAGTGAACTGCACCAGGCTCAGCTGCCTTGGACGTGTAAAGGTTAATGGTTGCAAGAGTTTCATCTGTGCTCTTTTGCTTTCTAACTTGGGTGTTTTGCTGCCCATATGTTTAGATACCTGATTATTTTGTGGGCTACCATAAAGACAAAGACGTAGG